GCCTGGATAGCAGTTAAAAAACAAGCTCTTGTACAATATAATTAGGAAAGTCTGAAGGCTGTATTGGAACATCTGGTTGGTAGAATGAATACTGAACCTTTTGAAAGCTCTTAAATGGTTTTTCCTCGCCCAAGGAGCTTCAGTTTCATCACACATTGATTCTGAGGCCTGTTTACCATAGAAATGTCTATTGAGCTCTAAATCCTAGTATTAATAAGGCGTATTTCTAATCGTGAAACAGCGTGTGCGCCCGCTCTTTAGCAAGGAGAATTCTCGTGATTCGCGATCGGACCTCAGTGAGAGATACTGCGAATAACGCGGATGCGACCTGTATCTGTCAAATGACAACAGTCGAAACGCCGGGTATGCGAAATGGGATCAATTCAAACCTTCATAGGATTCTAAACAGCGAAACATAAAGATTGATTACGGGTATCGCCTTAATTTGCCATTTTTTTAGCCTCATCAAAAAAGTTGTACGTTTTAAAACACTTTGATCCACTGGTGTTTGGGTTGTTTATAAATACTGAGACAACTTGGTTCTGAATGCACGTCACCTAGCTTTTACAACGTTTGCACATGCGGAGACATTCGGCTGCCGTGTTATTTGTCATTTACTGGGCTGCATAACTTACGGAATTTATTCCATTTGAATTTCCACCACACATCCCGTTGACCCATGCATAACCAACGGTCCCTCCTGGCCAGGATCGGTGACTGGAAAAGAATGAAAAATGGCAAATTTTGTGGTATAGATCATTGAATATATCCTGAATAATCATGAATATAAAATTTAATGTACGGAATAATTATGCTTAGCTATTGATAAAACATCTTTTATGGTAAACTTGTTCTCTTCCAGTTCAGTATAAATTGACCTGTTGGAAGGATTTCGGAAATTTAACCTTTGGTACATCCTTAGCAGTTAATTGATAGTCAATCTTTTCTAGGTCGCCTTTTATATCCTGTTGGCGATGACGGATTCCCCCCTGTTCCTTTTGAAAACCACGCGATCTCCCCTCAAATAAAATCCCCCACCCCCACAGGTGATGAGTTATGACTGGTCCCTCAATACTGCTGTGTCGAAAGGGCAATTTTTACCTTAGTAATTGTGCATTGTCGTGAGGAAATTTTTTCATCAGAATATCATTTCGGTAAGTCCTAAAGTTCTTTAACTCTAGGTCTCGGTCATTCTCTCGCTTATAAGGATCACCATTGGTCCAGATCTCCAACACCTTTAAGACTATCCTGATATTTATTCGCTGATAAATCTGTGGAAGAGAAAGTAATTAGAATAATTCAAGGTGGCTTGTAATAGAAAACATTTCTTGTGACTCGATTATCAGCTCAAACACCCATTGCCAAATCAGGAAATACACGAAATGCATGTATCAACAGTATTCTAAATAAGTTTTGATTTTAAAATAAGGAAAGAAGTATGACCCCTCATTATCCCATAGTCTCTGTTCTTGCGATACTTGTATGTAGAAATACATTGAAGCAAGCTCATTAGCCCGAGTGGTTTCGCATGAATTTACCATTAGCTTAGATAATTCAATAGGAAAAAAAATTGATAAAATAGAAGACTTGTAAGCAACTGCCAGGGAAACCATTTACATCAGAGAGATGGAATAAGGAAGTATGATGGTAAAAAAGCTTCTTTCATACCAGTATGCTTCTATCAATCAATATCAAAAAGCAAAACAACGCGAAAGGGCTGCCAACTGTCACCTTAACATATGAAAAGTATTTACAAAATTATAAACATTTGTTCTTTATGGATTAAATATAAATTCTTCAGATGACTTTAAATTTAAACTTAGAAGCAATGTTATAAATCAATGTTGTCATATAACATATATTTTCAAAGTTTGAATCGATTGCAAAAGCGATTCTTTTTTAAATCTGTATCTGTTGTCTTTACGTTAAATAGAAAATAAATGGGACAAAGTACAAGAAATGAAAACGTTTAAAAATTACTTACGTACCGCATCAACAGCATTCACCAATGTAATGACACGGTCTGTGACAGCTTTGGTATCATTGTCATGGTTGCTGTACTATTGAAAAAAGATGACCTGGTTATCTTTGGTTATTCGAATCAGTAGCGTTATTCTCAGTAGTAAATCGCAAATAATTTCAATCGCTATTGCTTAGTCGGCGTACCGCCTTTACAAGCTAAATATATTCAATTTATTAAACATTTCGCTTAAGTCATAAACTCTTGCCTATGTGGCCCTTGTATGCTAATGATTACAGGGAAGTATCTGTCGACCAGCTCATAAAGGCCTTCTCCCCTTAGCTTAATACAGCATTGTTTTCTTATTGAAAGCCAGTCATTATTGAGATATGACTAGATAAACTCAAATCAAATCATTGGTAAGAAACAAAGCATTTTTGTCAGTGCGTGTTAGTCTTTATCACAGCCCACCATTCAAAGAATCACGAATCTAAAAGTTTACATAATAAAGTAAACCGTTGTTAATGGTGACGTCATCTACGAGTCTGTCCTCCGATAGATATAAGTGCATTGTAAGGACCACTCAAAATGTGTATATGATTCATATTTTTAACATATAAACGATGTGGGCAATACAAAGCAAGGAATGTTGTTGGAAAAAGGGATTCGCCAGATTGTAAAGTAATATATTATAGAGAGATTTTGCACGGCTTTTACGTGAAACGGCAAACTTTAGCTTGCCCTTCCAAGTTTCAAGTTTCACGTAAAAAATAGCGTGACTCTTTCTGCTTCAACCTCGCGTGAGCTTACATCATGGTGGACATGAAGCGGCCTTGTATGCCTGACAGGGAATAGTTTTGGTGTCCTTTTTCCGGCAATTAAGGTTTTTTCTGTGAGAGGAAAAGTGAAGAAAATCTTACCGATATGGCAAACGAAAAACAGGTTACTTCACTTGGAAACGGTAAAGTGCAACCGACAAACGTGAAAAAATAGTGGGAAAAACAAGGTCGCGTGGCCACTCTTGTCGCTCGCGTTTCACGCAAACGCGGTGCTAACTCTCTCTCATATATTTCTTTTGGAGCAGAAGCAATCAGCTGTGGTACCAACCATTTCAAAATCCACACAAATCGCGAGTTCGTTGTACCGCGTCTCATCTGTTGTCAGAAATGGTTTGTAGAATTCATCAATGTGACCCGATATGCTTCTTCTTATCTAAATAAAAAAAAATCAATAAATAAAGATCATTGATAATTGCAAATCATCCTCATTTATTTGAAATGATATGCTCTTAATTTGATAACAAATCTCTTTAGGACTTGCGATATTCTTTATGTGGTTGGTTCTCACGTTATGTACTTTCTTACTACAATCGGCAATAAAGTCACAATTAATCTGATTGGCCAATTTGCTGTTGTCGATAGTGATACAGACAACACTTCTCACGTCAACGTGTCACGCAAAGTGTCACGTACTGAAAGAATCGTTTTATTTCCCTTCGATAGTGTGGTAGATAACAAATCGTTAATGATATTCGTCATCACAGCGTTAAAAATAATTGTCGCAGACTCATTCGGGATTACTCGCAGTGGTTCGTACATAGACCCTCCTTCGAGAGGATATTGCATCTCCGAAAAAGCACATACATCGATCAGCGCATGTGACTCAAGGAAGGCACGAAAAAAGTGTACATGTAAGTTCAATGTCAGTGCACGATTATTTTTATAGTATTTTCATTTGAAAGCTCCTGTTCACGTCTAAAAAATATGAGTTCAATCAAGAGTTTATAATCTCTTGGTTCAATCTAGAGCAGATCTCTGAGCGTGTTTTGAGCGAGTGTTCGAAGTATTTGCATGAATCGTGAAAGATGCACTTTTCGGCACCTCTTAAGGTTAGTTTTGGTATATCATCCCTTAATCCAGACATCCAAGTATTCCTTCAATAGCTACTATAGAAACGACTGAAGTTGCATCGAAACAACTTTCTACGTGGATCGAACCGACTTTGTCGATATATCGAATCGACCCCAGCTTGTTACGAATCGACTTGTATCGAAACGACTATAAATCATCCAAATAATCCTCGCAAACCAAGTCGAAATAAAAAATATTTTTTTTTAATAGTTCAAACTTAAATACTAACCCGTGAAAATGGACTCAGAAGTTCGCGTGAGGAATGAGAGTCTGCCTGTGCTTCTTTGTTTCCTGCAAAAAATAAGATGTTCCTCATTTATTTATTCATTTATTTCTTTATTTCATAGCATAAAAAGTAAGTTGCCTTTCTTTATACATGATATGATATTTTAGCGCAAGGTGTTGATTTGGTTTTACGCAACAGCAATTTTTTTTCTTTAGAAGTCAGTTAAATCCCTAGAACGTTTCAAGAGAAAGGCAAATGTTTTGCGTCTAAACAATAAAATTTCTGATTTACCACACTTATCAAGAATTTCTTTAAACTCGTCTTCTTTGGCTCTGCTAACTCTGTGAATTCCGTGCTCCTGAAATTAAAAGCAAGAAACATTCGAGGGGAGTTTCGATAAAGATTAAATCCGATGGAAAAAGCTTAATGGGGAGAATTTTTATCCTGGTCAAAACTTACTTTTTGTCCATTCTCAGGTGTGATGTAAAATGTCTCATGGCCATCATCAATTAAACCTCTGTTGAGAACAAATGATATTCATAACTGAGTGGCAAATGATCATCAATATCCTTTCGTAAGAACTACGGGATCCTTGCAAAATCCTTGCAGATTCAGCGTATATGTATAATAACCATGCTAGCAGACGGCAGATAATCGATTAAAGTAAGATTTTTTTAATCTTCCCTCGGGCGAATTTAAAGAGTTTCGTATAGAAAATAGTTTCTGAATTTTTAATTTTCTTTTCTTCTTCATTGCTTATTCCTTGTGGAGAAAATTGCGGCGAAAAGGAAAGAAGATATCATACAAAAATTAGATTTAACAAAGAAAAACAGTACCTCAATCCAGAACAAGTGTTAAGGACAACATTTGAATCCTTTAAACTCCGGATGGAGCCCTGATAGTGACAATGATCAACGACGCCCTGAGGACGATGAGAAGAAATTGTTGGTTAATAACCTGCTTGCAGGCGGTAATAGTTGGTATGTGCAAGGTTCAACGCGGCGAATATATTTGGTCGACATATTGGACGGGTGGAAGATCTGGAACGAATAACAAAGCGAGGGGGAGGGGGAGGGGGGGGAGAAAAACCACCCTCCCCCTCGCTTTATCACTCGCTGAGTTTCGCGCATACAACAACGACCGCCTGAAAGCAGGCTAGTCGGTTGAATATTATATTCTCTGTCACAATAACTTTTATAGAATTCAAGATGACCACAGAGTCTGCAGCCCTCTTCTCAATTCTTCCTCAATATTACAGAATACCAATCCTGTATTCTGATCGTTTGAGGAAGCGTAGTCCTAAGAAGGATTGTTGGCGGCGTTGGTGACTGACGTTTGAACAAACTCAGCAAAAATCATTATCGGAGTAGATGATCATTGTCAGTCGACTCTGATGAAACTTCAGTCAGCGCCGTCAACAACATGACTTTTCCCACACGGAAGGTCAAATATTATCCCTTGGTTCAAGTAAATAGTTTTTTTAAAGAAATTTGTATCAGAAACATGTTGGTATTTCCTAACCTAGATATTTGGTATAGGAATGGTTATTTCTTACAGAGTAATTGGCGTGTTAATTAATGATTGTTTGAAGTTGCGCATCTCATTTGTTTTTAGCATTTCTCTGATATCATAGATGCTGTCACTAGTGAAGTATTGAATAAACGATGCTCAGAATCGGTGACTCTATTTGGTAACTAACTTGTCATAGGGGATGGCATAAGCAGAAAAGCCAATTTATTGCCATCTTTTTTTGCGGGGGGGGGGGGGGTTGGGAAACTTCTTACAACTGTTTTCGTTCATAAAAACTCTTTCCACCAAAGTGAAAAGTACAGGGTAGTCACTAGTCCTTTATTAAGACCTGTTCATAATTCTATAACGCGTCCGACATATGTCATTAATTCTGTACCTGTTGACTGATAATGTGCGACCCATCATTTGCAAATGTACGAACAGAAAAAGATGGATGAATAAGTTCCCTGAAAAAAGAAAAAAGGAATATACATATATCTCATTAAAGATTGCAATACGGGCTCGTAAAAATACAGGAAGGTCGTAAAAATACTCAGCGGTACTACACAAAAAAACGTTAAATAAGAGATTTATAATCCAACACGCTAAACTGTTATTTTAGTGCGGATGAATTTCGCGGATATTTATTAACGAGGAGTGCGGAAGCGAAAAGGAATTGGCGCGGCAATTTCATCGTAGTCTGACTGCTTGTTTTCGTTACATTTATCTTATAAACCTGGATCAATATTCGCTAGCCATTCCTACTCTTCGTCGTCAGAAAAATAATTTAAATGGTAACTTCACTCCAATTTGTGGCTTGCGCGATGCAAGAAAACCAGTTTGACTGGTTCTCCGGAGTACAAATACCGTGAGATACTAATCGTTTTGGGCGTTAATTGTACTCTGGCAAGCGCAGTTGGATAACAAATACATCTTATTAGACTTTTTGTTGTGCAACATCGCTGAGTATTTTTACGAGTTGTGCCGTATTGTGACGAGCCTTTAGGGCGAGTCAGAATACAATTAACAAGCAAAAATACTCAGTTATACTACACAATAAAACATTTAATAATAGATTTATTATCTAACACGCCAAATATCAAATTGTTATTTCAGTGCAGGAGAATTTACCGGATATTTCTTGCATACAAATATCGCGTGATATTTGTACATGTGCTCGTCTCGCAAGTTATTTGTACTCCTCGATGCACATGTGGATAATAAATATTGATACAGTGCTACGTAGTGCCATACAGTCTAGACGGTCCCCTATACTTTTTACGTGTTACGTGAAGCGTGATTGGGCCAATATTTTTTTGTCGTGAATCGTGATTTAAATTTTTTATTTTTCGTGAATCATGATTAAAGACGGTAAGGTCGTTTCATGTCTACGTAGAAGAATTTTTTTATTTAAAAGTGACCCGTGAATTAAGAGCTGAATTAAATGTGATTCGCGAACCATTCTGTTTTGCGTGATGAACTTCAGGTTATTTTATCGTTTTTAAAATGCAAGTATTGTTCTCGAATGACTGTGGTTAGGTGGTGCAAGGAGATGGACTTCTTGTGGATAGATAAAAGTCGCAAAACAGACCACTACTGGTTCTTGAATATCTAAGATGAGACGTGACATCTCTTTTGTCGCGTAAGACTGGACCAGACTAGAAAAATAAGATAGTAATTCAACGTGATTTTTTTTTTTATTTCACGCGAGCGTGATGGGGTTTTGGATATTCGTGATGCGTGAAAAAGGCAATATTTTTACGTGACTGACTTTTACAAAGGGGTTTAGGGGTCTCTATATGGAGGGTGGGGGGAGACACGTTGATAGTCGACGGTTAAAAATATGCCCTTTTGCCGGACGGTTGACGGCTAAATTTTAGGTCATTTGAAGGTTGACGGTTAAGTTTTTGGAATGTCGTCTATAAAACGAACTAAATGCGCGAATTTGGCTGTAATTTAGCATAATTACGCGTTTGTAAAGAACTTTTATTTTATAACACCCTTTATAAGTAAATGACTGACGTTTTAGGACGCCGGAAGTGTTTCCATTCTGGAAGTCAGTTCTGTCGCTAAACAGTTTTAATCGAGACTGGAAGAGCACTTACCTAAATGTATTTTTGTGATATACCAAAACATTTATTTATAAACAACGGAACTTGACCCCAATTAAAGCATTCTTTTAGTTTTTAATTAAGGATACCTGAGGCATTTGATAGCTAACATTGGCTCGCTTATTTGACGGTTGACGGTAAAAATATTGCGTTTTTGACGGTTGATGGTTAATATTTTGGCCATTTGACGGTTGACGGTTAACCCCAGTGAGACCCTCGAATAGGGGACCTTCTGTTTACAAGGTGATTAGTGAAACAACTGCGTCAGTTAATGAAACAATGATCGAAAAGACAAATGAAATACGGAAAAAGTGAACAAGCGAATCAACTACTGTACGATAACAAGTCAGGCGTGTTCGTTTCAAGAAGTACAAATGAAAAATCGCACGATAGTTAATAAAACATACTTGTTTCGTTTTACATCCAGGGTCCAGTCCTTGTCAAAAGCAGTCAAGCGATACGAGGCGGTGTCAACGTGAACTCCCTGTAACAGTTTAGCATGAAATATAGTTATTTGCCAGTAATTACAGCTCCGAACAAAAAATCCTTTGTATCGATGTTCTTGTCTTGCAATCGAGAAACATTGTCTGCTTAATAACCCTCAGTTCAAAATAAATATACTGGAAATTGCATTGAAAATGCAAATAGAAAAAAAAATAAATCAAGAAATAAAATTCTTTGAATAGAGAACCTTTTCAGAGGTCGAAAGATCTCTCTTTTCCCTTCTGCCATCTACTCGGTCTGGGCGTGTGAGGTGATAAGCATTGTCGTAATGCCCATCTGAGGATTAAAACAGTTTAGTGAGAGGATCGACACACTTCCTTCAAAAAGAAAAATTGGGTAAAATCGAGTATCAAACATCACTCACCACACCTCAGATAAACTGATCGTTCTTACTATCTCAAGTTCGTTTTGGTGCAGTATTTAGTCATCTACGCCTTTTTATATACAAAAGAATTCATTTGAAGTAGGGGAAAGAGATCGCAAAAAAGATGCCTGACATAAAAGCTGGAGACTTCACGTCGAAAGGTTATGTTCAATTCATTCGAAGTTAGGAAAACTGAAGCGCGAAAAAAGGCATACCTGCGTAATGTAAACTGCCATAGAGCCAAAACAGCCACAACGCGCAAATGATCAGCAAACAGTCCGCTCTCCGTTTCACCATAGTCTCTTCAACTCTTCCTTGAGTAAAAACAAATAGAATAAGTTGAATTTCTTAATTTATTTTTTTTTGCCAGACAGCGCTTGCAAGCATAAATGAGGTGTCACAGAGGTCTTTAGACAAGAAAAAGAGAGGAGCTGACGACAATTTCTTCCACACTTCCTTCAAAAAGAAAAAGTGGGTAAAGTCGAGTATCAAACATTACTCACCACACCTTAGATAAACTGATCTTTGTCACTATTTCAAGTTCGTTTGGTGCAGTATTTAGTCATCTACGCCTTTTTATATACAAAAGAAGAGCTTATTATTCAGTGTTAAGTATGCAAATGTAGCCACATACTCTCATGATCATTAGTAAATGGTGCAAGACTTTAATGTTTACAGACTATTCAAGTTACACGGTGCAGCTTTATATGTACAACTTAATGATGGGAAATGATTTTTAGAAGACTTAGATGTTTAAGTTTCCTCGATAACATAACCTCAGCGCTGCTAAACTGAAGAAAATACTAATAAAGTTAATTAGCATGTGTGTTATTATAGAGCTAAAAAATTGTGCGCTTTTTTCTATTTCCAAAGTGTTTTACATTTAACTTGGGTTAAAAACAAGTCTGTCTAATTTATGGCGTTTCATAAAAGAGTACTAGTGCATGGGCCATCGATCTTTGAAAGATATTTAAAAAAAAGGCATCTTATACTGCTTCCATGCTTCTCGCATATCGCCTAATTATTAGCTATTTACAAGTATAATTTCCATCTGTAGTGATTCACTTTGAAAAACACGCACGAACTAGCATGATCATTTCAAACCTCTTTATCAAAAATGGTGGAACTTTCGATAATGTCGCAAAAAGAAAAAAAGCTTGCATAATAGAAAGATTTTCCATTTTCCGGGGTTGAATTTGTGTCTTAGCTTTTATTCTGTTACCATGGTACTAAATATCAGGGAAAGGAACGAGTCTTCGGCTCTCATACCATTCCATATCCTCAAGCTCTCAGTTATCTTAAAATTAGAAATAAGCAAAATGATGAAAGTAACTAGAAAAAGAAAAAGAATCGGTGATAATGAGATTTAGTTTCAGAAGAGAAATAACATCGTCTCAAAGTGGGTCTCCCATTCATTAAATTATTTTAGGAGACGAAAAAAACATTTAGGTTTGTTCTCTTTTTGCATTCGGTGTTTTTTTTTTTTATCTGTAGATCGAATGACTTCTACAGTGAAATGAGGATCCTTTAATTCGCATTTCAGCCACAAAGAAAACAGTCTGAAACTTGACGGTATTAGTCCTCGTGGTTCCCCTACTCTATGCTACAACAGTGATTACCCATGCTTCTCTTAATTTCGCCTTCTAATTGTAAATAATTTTCTTATGTTGTCGCAATTTCTTTTTTAGGCTTTTAATTTGTACTAAAAAGCATTCCTCGTTTTAGCCGGGATATTTCGTTGTTCCGCGTCTTAAGATATTTTTGTGGAGCTTTAGCAACGACGACGGCGACAGCAACGGCAACGAAAACGTCGTGTCAAAATCTAACTTTTCGTTTTTGTAACTCTTTCGAGATTATTCCGATGTGCTTCACTTGGAAAATGTTGTCGAACTATTCAGGGACTATAGAGGTTTTGCACAGCAGCCATGTTGGATGGCAGGAACAATGAAAATATTTTTCATAAGAAAGAATTATTTTCCCATGGGTAAAATAATCTATTGTTCCTGCCATCTAAAATGGCTTCTGTGTAAAACCTCTATATCACTACGTACGGCGTTAAAGTAAGGAAAAAGAAAGAAAAATTAACCGTCATGCGCTCACGTTCTCGAGAAAACGTAAAATTTGGTTATTTCACGTTGTTGTTTTGCCGAGAACGGCAAAGAAATGTACCAAAATGTTAGACGTACGTGAAGGGCGATTGTTTTTGCTCATTAAGCCTATTGTTTTCTGCCGTTCTCGTTGCCGTTGCCGCTCTCGTTGTTAAAGCTCCCTCTTCCGCCACTCCTCCGCATCACCTTTCCTTCTTTTCATCATTCTGTTAAATAACTCAAGGTATCGTATTTCGCTGCTTGCTCGCATCACAACCGTTAGCAGCCCTTTTCGGCATAAGTCGCTGATTCAAATAGTACAGTGCTCTCTTTGTAAAGAAAAAAAAAAGTTTTCCTTGAAGCTTTCATGATGTGCAGATCACTTCTATTGAAATATTTGTGAAAGGAAAAGGTCTGATTTAATTTATGCGTCGGTGGATGCCACTGTGAAATTATTATGAGATGTTTATAGTCTTTTGTAGAGTCACGGCACGTACTGAAAAGATCATATCTTCAGATCTTCATAATCCCCTGATTTAAATAGCAAAATGCTCTATCTTCAAAGAAAGAATCTTCCCCCTAAGTTTTATGATGCATCGATCACAGTTATTAAGATATTTCTTCAAGGTAAACCTTTTACTTAAATCGCGCGCAATCCTGAAATGATTGTGAGATGCTTATCGTTTATCGCTTTCTGCTGTCTTGCGTAGTGTCACGGCGAGACCTGAAAACATAATTGGCTTGTAGCTATGAGCCAGAAATAACAAAATGAGAGAACTCAACCATGTATCAAGCGCGAATGTCGAACTACTAAGAAATAAGTAAAAAAAACTAAGTTGCACAGGGAAACATCGAGTCAAAATGGAGTCAAGATCGGTATTCTATTGTTATACTCAGTCACTCATTCACCTACTTATTCATCTCGATAACATGTGTGGCTTCGCCTCCTTTTGGAGGTAGTAGCCACAAAAAGGCGTAGGCGAAATCCAAAAGGGGTGATTTTGAGAATGTTGAATTTTATTGAAAGGTCTCTGACAAATTGTAGTTCGCACTTAATGCAGAAATGAGAGGGAGTGTGCTTTCGGATTAAACGATGCGCCCTGAGGGGAACTTTCGACTGATGCCACGCGAAATTTCTCCTCGGCATAGCAGTTGAAATATCATAATTTTATTCTGAACAAGGGTGATTTTGAATTCGATTAACCTCTGACACCCGTGCGGTTTACGTGGAAGACATACTGACATTTATGAATTAATTAAAATCGTTCATTTTTATCTTGGATTTGAATAAGTTGCACTTGAATGATCAATTTATTTCATATTAGCATGCGTTGTGGTTTCTTGTTCAGTAGACCCTTGTGCACTAATCGTTGACTCTTGTCGTCGTTGTGGAAAAAAATCCGGTCATTTGCTAATCTTTCGGATCTACGAGGACCTTGCAACATATCGTATGTTTCGTTTAAAAGATGTTGTGCTCAATATGTTGAGTTCTCAAAGATATCCTTCGGCATATTGTGAAATTTATTCTCTTAAGATAAGCTAAATTTAGTCCCCACAACGACGACAAGGGTCAACGATTAGTGCACGAGGGTCTACTGAACAAGAAACCCCAACGACACAATTAGTTTCGGCTACGTGCACTCAGGAACTTCAAAAACACACCCTGCAAGATTTAAGGAAACCACAATTTCGCAGTATGGTTTTTATTCATTTAAATGCCGGATGAAAAAACTTGCGAGCAACAGCGCAACAACACAAATTCCTAAATACCCTCTATACGTAACAATTCATTGATCAAAATTATCTCGCCATTTCTTTTTCACGAGTTCGGCATCTCTCTTGCTTAGTGATTTTTTGTTCGATTGTTTATCCAAATGGCTAGTTTATCCATTTTTAACTAGTCAGACAAGAATTAACAAGTTATCAAACTAGAGTCGTATTAAACTTTAGCCAGCCGCTTACGAGAGTGAGTGCATCAAAAAGCATAACCCGCAGGCCGAATCTTTCTATGCAAATGATGGCCTCACCCGTATTACAACGTACAACAATTCTTAGGCCTCTGAAATTGCATATACTCTGTTGAGTCAATGTATTTGAAAGCAAAGGGAGCACCGGCGATTAACGGTAGATATGATTCTTGTACAATTAATTACAAATGCTATCGCTCAACTACAAGCAATTAGGTATAGTGGAACTGGGAATACTTAAGAATGCTCTTACGCCACGCAACAGCAGCCGTAAAGTTGCGCCTGTGAGTTTGAGGAACTGTTCCTTAAGGAAAACCTCAATCAAAATCACTTTCTTTGCTTTGTAATTAGTAGACGAAGGGTGTTAGAGACCAGAGCTAAAAAAATGAAAAACACTATCGTTAAAGTCCGCTTGGGTTTTCTCAGCCCTTTGGTGATTAATCAATTACCAAAACGATATCTAACACTTTTAATCCCCTGCCAAACATGACCTTCTTACATCACGCCCGAGAATGTTTGATCGTCTAGGCGGAGCTGAACAACATTTCTCATGTTAAAAACAAACCTTGTTCAGCCTGTAGAGTTCTTCGGAATCATCAGTAGATGCGTCTCACGGGGATGCAATGAAGACTACGTGAGTAGAACCTTTTACCACTTTTATTTAAATGTCTGCTGCAATTGTCTGACTGCTCATTAAGAGACAACGACCGCCCATTTAATAACCACCGCCCGTGCCTTCAAGTCTACGCCGTTTCCACGCCAAAGAGATCTAAAAAAACAAAAGTGCTTTTTTCTCTCTTTCCCATTCGGGTGCACATCTAAAGACAGATTAATCATATCTTGTTCTCTGTCTTTTGAACAATGCCTTCAGGCTCGCCATATAAAAATGCTTTTCATCAAGAAAAAGGCCACCCCCCGTTGATAATGACACACTTAAGAAAGATCTTCTAGGAAAGGTTTATTTTTGAAATGTTTTAGCCTATCATCGGGGGGCAAAGTGACGGTAAAATTCACTACAAAAAAAAAATTGCAAACATGACTGTAAAATTGAAAAGAAACCGCCAGAAATAGGCGTGTTAAAACAAATTTGTGAATATTTAAGCAAAGGTACTGGAACAAAGTAGAAAAACACCAGCTTGATTTAAGATTTTGTTCACGTTTTTTCGTATTATGCATGCAACTAGTTGACATTTGAATACTCAGTAATAATTTCATTTGTTCTGTACCAGTCGTTTTGAAAATAAAGGACTTAACACCTTGTCAAACTAATTCCATTATCCGTAAATTTGCTGGTAAAAGGAGAGAGCAGATATACTCCCTAATATGAAACGTGCGATGAGAAACCATAGCCATAATTATGAATTAAAAGCATCTTACTCAAGACACAAAAGCACCTCATTACTTGAAGGATGACTGAGTTTCTTAACGACACTTACCGTAACGATTTAATGCTTGGAACACAATTATTCCCCTTTAACTAAANACAGGCGCTTATTTGCTTTCTCAATGCAATCTACAATGTGATTGTTCCATTTCAAGTCACTGGTTATCGTAACACCTAATATCTTCGCGCAGTCGGTGACAGGAAGCTCATGACCATCTACCTCGAGAGGGGAGAAGTTATGAGGGTTCTTCTTGAAGTCAAAAATTATCTCCTTGCACTTATCGGCATTGAGTTACATCCGCTGAGACCAAGACCATTCCTCCACGGCAGTAACAGCGTGTTGCTCTCCTCCCAGGGAGCCGCGGGGTATGGTTTCGGAGATTGTCGTGTCGTCGACATACTTGGACGTGGGAGCGACAAATTTGAGATCATTGATCATGAGCAAGAAAAGCAAGGGGCCGAGCTTGGTCCCCTGAGGAACTCCGTTGGGGACTGGGCCCCACTCAGAGAATTAGTCAAAGGACAGCTTGACGCGTTTGTGTCGATTCGTCAAAAAGTCAGTCACCCAGGATTTGATGTTGTGTGGCATGTCGAGGCCGACGATCTTAGCGACAAGTATCTCATGATCGATAAGATCAAAGGCCTTGCCATAGTCAAATAACACGACTCTAACAGCTGCACCGGTACCGTCTGTAGCTTGTGACCAGTGGTGAAACATCGAGATCAGAGCGAACAGGGGGGATGACTTAGGGATAGCACCGTATTGATCACGGTTAGTCTTGAGATACTACGACAGCTAAAACGTCCAAGACGTGACTCACACCAAGGATTATTACCGTGTGTTATTCTGTAGTGAATATGTTACCAATTCGTCGATTCTACGTTTTATAGATGCGGTTGCGCGGGCACTCAAACGCGATAAATAATCCTTTCACCCCGGTAAACTCCTTTTCGTGAAAGTGACCAACATTCGGGGAGTGTGATCGACATTTCCCGCGGTAATAATCGATGGATATGTTAAAAAGATTACGCGAAGCACCTATGACATTTAAAGTGGTCAGTTTACAGTTAACATACGTTGATTTACATCAACGTTGATTAAGAACTTCTCGGTCATTTCCTCTATGATTTAGAAGCCAGAGTTATCAAAATATATCACCACAACAATGATGTGGTGACATATGACTTCTAATACTACTTCTAGACATATGACTACCTAATACTATATGACATATGGTATTAGGTGAAGTCGCTGTATTTCAAAGCATTTGGAGGGGAACCTTCCTCTTTCAAATTAAAGAATCAGAAGATTGCGAGCTTGTTTTGGGTTCCATGGGCATTGGGAGTGAAAGCAACGGTAAAGTTTACATATCCTAAAACTCTTACAAGAGACCTACAATTTATTCGCAGAATCTCTTTGTTCGATGCACTGATGAATTACAGAAATACAAATGCAAATACAATTGTGGATATAGATACAAATGCTTCTGTCATGCATGCTTTTTACTGCTATAGATTTCACGTCTCTTGACATTCCAAAACGCGAGAAAAAAGCAACACTGAGTGTAAAACAAAGGTAAATAAATGAATGTTACTCCACTAGTATTGGAAAAGCAGCTATTAAAAGTTTTCTTTCTGTGTTTGAATTGCAAATAAGTAAAAAACAGTTGTTTTCCAACTCTGGCTAAAATATCTGGTAATAATGTATCTACAGGTACTTTTAGTTACACATTGTGAATTCAATTTCCTATTCTTGTCATTTCATTACAATCAAATTTCCATTTATATTACATTCTACTTATAATGGTGGACGTCCTTNCTTTCTCAACCTTAACAAGATATTTTCTAGTTTCTGGAAAAATTGTCTGATGGGCAAAAGTTAAGACTGCTGAGTGAGAATACAGATTTTGTTTTGTTTGTTTTGTTTTTTCAATATCTAATTTCGGCAACGACGTTTTTAAGTAACTATATGCATAAGCTTTTTCTCGATCGCGATTTTCTCTCAGAGCCAAACACAGAAACGGAAAGAATAGCTAATCTGCACAAAAAACAAAACAAAACAAAAAAATTTACAGCAGTTCGAAAATTTCTATTCGGTAGGGTAACCGGACTCTTATGACATTAAAATGTTTCGCCCTGTTGTTATGGTTGCTTTTTGAATAGGATTGGATTCGAAATATTAGCTTAAATGACAAACTTAAATAGAAAGATATTTCAAAATATCTTTTCCGAATCTATAATGCTAAAAAGGGAGAGTTACTTCGATGGAAATTAATTATTAACCCCTTTCTGCATGCTTACAAGAGGAGCAGCACAGTTTCGCGTTAAATTGCACGTTTCTTTTTTTAATGGCAAACACAGTGGAAACTAGTTGAAACCAAATCCAACGCAATCAGCAAATGAAAGTATCAGTAGTTGATAAGGGTTTGGTGTTTGGTGTTTCGTGTTTGGAAACCCCGGTGAAACACTCGCACTCGTTTTTGAAATATCATGACATGTTACGAAACATTGGCAGATGTGATGATGATACGTTGAGTAAGGAAAGTCTTTTCCAGCCGAAGTTTTATTTATGGATAAGTAAATCTTACCTCAATTGAGATCAGTGCGGAATTAACAAGCTGAGATCTCTCAAAGTTTTAATTCATACTGAAAGATAAATTTAGGAATAACGAACGAGATATACCCAATCAAAACGAACAGAGAACTTTTTTATTCATTCACAATGTCATAAGAAAAAAATTTTTTTTCAAATACCTTGGCTACACAGACTAGATATTGAAAAAACAAAACAAACAAAACAAAATCTGTATTCTCACTCAGCAGTCTTAACTTTTGCCCATCAGACAATTTTTCCAGAAACTAGAAAATATCTTGTTAAGGTTGAGAAAGCTGGGGTACCTGTAAAATGTTTTAACTGAAGGAGAGATGATAGATCATCCATTTGGACATGACAAGTAATAGGAAACTTTCATCAATGGATAGAACAGAGCAATTAATTTTGTCCCGCAGAACTGTGTATTCATGTCATTTCGTATCACCTTATTCAGATATAAAACAGTCGCCGCACTTTGGCATTTCTTGTGTTCATGGTCGCTTTGTTTCCTATCAGTTGGAACAAAAAAAAAAAGCTTCGAATGTTATCTTGATATCCAACAGAAGATGAATATTTTGAAATTCTCATAGCATCTGATAACTCAACTCAAGAGTTGCACCTGCTCCATGAGTGATGCCATTCACTTTGGATACAATGGATATATGAAGTTCATATATTTTGAACTGCGGTATTAAATACGTATGATGCACGATTTTCGCTATAGAATTTGATATAAATGGAAATTTGATTGTATTGAAATGACAAGAATGGGAAATTGAATTCACAATGTGTAACTAAAAGTACCTGTAGATATATTATTACCAATTATCATAGTGAGAGTTAGAAAGCAAATCTTTTTTACTTTTTTGCAATTCAAATACAGAAAGAAAACTTTTGATAGCTGCTTTTCCAATACTAGTGGAGTAACATTCATTTATTTAACTATGTTTTACACTCAGCGTAGCTTTTTCCTCGCGTTTTAGAATGGCGAGGGACGTGAAATCTATAGCAGTAAAAAGCATGCATGACAGAAGCATTTGTATCTATATCCACAATTGCATCTACATTTGTATTTCTGTAAATCATCAGTGCCATCGAACAAAGAGATTCTGCGAATAAATTGTGGGTCTCTTGTAAGAGGTTTAGGATATGTAAACTTTACCGTTACTTTAACTCCCAATGCCCATGGAACCCAAAACAAGCTGGCAATCTTCCGATTCTTTAATTTGAAAGAGGAAGGTTCCCCTCCAAATGCTCTGAAATACAGCGGCTTCACCTAATACCCTTTGGCTAAGTCAGTGAAGAAGTCATATATCACCACATCATTGTTGTGGTGATACATTTTGATAACTCTGGCATCTAAAGTCATAGAGGAAATGACCGAGAAGTCCTCAATCAACTTTGCAGTAAATCGACGGTTCGTATGTTAACTGTAAACTGACCACTTTAAATGTCATAGGCGCTTCGTGTGATCTTTTTAACATATCCATCGATTATTACCGCGGGAAATGTCGGTCACACTCCCGAATGTCGCTCACTTTCACGAAAAGTAGTTTACCGCGATGAAAGGATTATTTATCGTGTTTGAGTGCCCCGTGCAACCGCATCTATAAAACGTAGAATCGACGAATTGGTAACATATTCACTACAGAATAACACACTGACAGGATTGTCTG